GGGGGAGGGGGAAAATGAGCTGATACCAGGGGCTCAAGTCGAAAGCAAATGTTTTGAGAATGATGATGACAACAGATGTACAAACGTGCTTGACACGATAGATGTGTGGATTGTGATAAGAGTTGTATAAGCCTCCAATAAAATGATTTAAAAATAAAAATCGAGAGGGAGAAGGGTGGATACTACTCAAGACCTGGGGGTGCAGGGGTGCAGACAGGTGTTTGGTTCTGTGAGTCTGTGTCCTGGCTCCAAGATGAGCGAGTGTGTGGGCAGCTGCCTGGCTGCTGAACCTGGGCGGGCGCCTCATTGTGTGGTGAGGCCACTCCATGTCCATTCCATGCGACCACCAGGTGATGGACACATGGGTCCCCACCCTGAGTAACTGGAAGCGGTGTTGCCATGAGCACGGTGTCCGGAGTGAGGAGCCTATGGTCACTGCTCGGAGCTTTTGGAAGACCTCCCCACCTCTCCACAGCCACTGCCCCATCTCACACCCCTGCAGCCTCCCGCCCACGTGCTGTCTCCCATCTGTCCCCTGATGGCAGCCTGCATGTGTTGGCCCTGGACTGTCACGCTCTGTCCACAACCCCATCTCTGTCCTAGGCTGGCGAAGCACCAGGAATAGAAAACAGTCACCAAGGCAGTTCTGACATGCATGTGTCCTGAGAGAGAGCGAGAGACAGATTTATCAATGGCTCATGCAGTAGTGGAAGCCGAGAGAGAGAGACACATCTATCAATGGCTCATGCAGTAGTGGAGGCCGGCAAGTCCGGAATGCATGGGTCAGACATCAGGCTGGATGCTTGTGGTGGTACTGCAGGTCAGGGGTCAGGCTGCTGCCTCGGGAACTGGAGGTAGGGTGATGAGTTACAGAGGATAGAGAGGGAGGTTCTGAGTTTTGCCAGAACACCCACCCGTAGATATTGGAGGGGCCACACCCCCAGGGAAATGTTGATTTTCTGCTAGGGCCTGGAACCAGCTTGCTTTCAGCTGTTGGACTGTGCACACAAGGTCACTCCTAGGGCATGAGAACTTGCTGTTACTCTAGGGGAGAGCAGTCTGCACACCCCTGGGAACCGGGCCAACCTCGCCGACCTGTCACGGCGGCCACCGCAGTCTCCCAGTAGCCCAGTGCGGGCAGTTCCCACTCGCAGCTGCCTTTCAAGCCAGGGTTCTTTCCATGGTGTGAATGAAGCAGCCAGGGCCAGTCCAGCAACCGCCACACGAGGTCAGCGGTGGACAGATGGCATGGGGGCCGGGGCTGCGCCACTTCCCTTTGGACACCTGCCCTCTATTGTCCTCCTTGCTGTGTGGTGGCCCTGTGACGTG